ACAAATTAAAGAACCTTAGGAAGATCACAAGTACTTGATGTATAAATATGTTTATGTTTTGTATGCAGTGATTTAGCTGATTTACTTGTTTTGTGAAGAATTAAAGATGAAGTTTCAAGTGAGAAGTAGAATCTGAGGACATGTATCTAGTTTCTTGGGTTTTTGTGTGACATTTTATTAAATTCTACAAATAGATGCCACCTCCAATTAAAGCATAATTCCTGAGGGACTGGAAATATACTGCTGATGTTAAATAATCTTTTTGCCTTTTTTTTTTTTTTTTTTTTTTGGTGTCTCTGTACAGTGCAAGCTGGCCTTGAACTCCATAGCCTAAACTGCCTGTGAGCTCACCATCCCAAGTGCTGGGATTGCTGGTGGCCAGTACTGTGCTTGGCTAAATGATATCTTGATGTAAATTTCAGTGGTCATTGAATTGGCAAAAATGTAGGATTTTTAATTGCATTTATATATAGATTTGTCCTAGAATATTTAAAGTAGGAATCTTGTGCTAATTATACAAACTAGTAAAATATGTAAACAGCTTAGTAAAATATTTTGTTATCAGGAATTGAACTCACAACCTTGTGCTTGCCAGGCTGGCATTGTGCTGTTGAGCTATATCCCTGGCTTTATAATATGCTTCTCAAATCCTCATCTGACTTTTACAGTTAGGAACTGATATAAAACCCGAATTGATAGTAAATGTTCTATTTCTGTGTATCCAAAGACCCTTCATAACAATAGCTTTATTTTTACATAGTTGCAATGAGTGGATACTGATATGTTTAGTATTTCCTCTTTATGTAAATGTTGACACAGCTTATCCTAATATGTGAAAAACAACCCCCAACAAAAAGAGCACTGTGGATATCTATCATGGTATCACATGGTTCCAACATTACTTTCTGATTTTCATCATTGGCTATTGAAAAGAGTGCTGCTGAGAATATTTTGGTAGAGATTACTTTCCTTCTGATTTATTTCCTTTGGAGTTTATTGCAGAAGCACAATTTCCTGGTCAAAAAAGCCCTGTAGGTTTTATGATATATTGGCAACTTTCTAGAAATATAGAATCAATATGGAACCAGATATTTATCTGTTTACCAGCTTCATCTCCTCAGTATTGGCATGTGTAACTGGGTTTGCTAGTTAACTGCGTAATCAAGAGACCTGAAAGCTGTAGTTGATTACAGATTTAGTAAAGCAGTTGTTCGTTTGTGTGTGCGGATATATATATATATATATATATATATATATATATGCACGTCTGTGTGTATTTTTGAGACAGTCTTGCTGTGTACTTCAGGTTAGCCTTGAGCTTGCTGTGTAGCCCAGGCTGCCTTCAGTTGAGGTTGGTGTTCCTGTCTTGGCCTTGTAAGTGCCAGGATCACAGGTGTGCACTGCCACACCTGGCTCATTTTTAAAGCAAGATTTTTTTAAAAAGTGTTGAGTGTTTTGCATAGAAACTGATTATGGCTATTGCATATTTTTTGATCATTTTAATTTTTGTATTTTACCTATGTGGGGACTTAGAAATATGTTTTTATCATGATGTACATATCCTTAATCATATTTTCTAAAACTAGAATCTTTTTGAAAAAAACCTTTAACCTACTTAGATTATTTGAATGGTATAATTATGTCTCCGACTTTATTAGAATATTCTGATTTCCTTTCATTTTAACATTTTTTCTTATTACAAAGGTTCAATATTTTCATTTTAGAAATTTACGATTCATTCTAGTGCTAGAGACTTAATGCCTTACATTATACTCATTTTGGACTCTTCTACCTTTTTAAAAAATGATGTGAATGTTCTGTGGATCGCTTTATATAACCTGCCTTTTTCTTTAGCAGTTTGTAGTTTTTCCATGACATTTAATATTTTTCTATAGCATTTTTATTAACTGCGTTGTGATCTGGTGGAACCTACGAAGTGTGATGGCTTACTGAACTAATATTGCATATACTTTTTTTTTTTTTTTTTGGTGCTGGGAGTTGAACTGGGGACCTTGCGCTTGCGAGGCAGGTGCTTAAGCCACTGAGCTATCTCCCTGGCCCTACATACACTTTTATAGATAGCACTAGAATTAAAGCTTTTGTGGTTGTATACACATCTTTTTTTTTTTTTTTTTTGCGGAACCAGGGATTGAACTCAGATCCTTGCGTTTGCCAGTCAAACACTTATCCTACTGAGCCATCTCCCCGGCGCCCATACACATCTTATTTTTAAGATTTGCAGCTTATTATTATATTTTGCTGTTGTGTTCTTTGCTTCATGGAATAGTTCCTTTAGTGTTTCGGAGTATTTCAGAAGAGTTCCTACTCTAGTTTCCATATCCAGCCTCTTTACCTGCCCTTGTGCGCCTCTGTCCTTACACCCCTATCCCCTTCCTCCTGTCTAATGATGGTGTCTTCTATTTTTTTTTTTTGTTTTTGGTTTTTTATATTCCATATACTAGAAAGAATGTACAAAATGTGTCTTAAGTCAAGCTTATTTTTCTGTTTAACTCCATATCCATCCATTTTCTAGCAAATAACAAAATTTCATTCTTGGGGCCGGGGAGATAGTTCAGTAGAATAATTGCTTACCTGGCAAGTGCAAGGGCCTGAGTTCAATCCCAGTTCAAAAAAAAAAAAAAAAAAATTGTTCTTAAAATCTTTTTTGATTATATTTGTATAACTTAAGTGACTTGATACCACTTTTTTAAATATCAAAAAAACAGGGCGCAATGTAGTAGGCCAGTGTTTGTCCTTCAGTTACCTATGAGACTCAGGACAGACTCCTCTAAGAATGAGGCTAGCTTTATTTTCTCAACTGCAAAGTAGCTATCACATGATCCATCTTAATTTTCTTTCCCATTTTTTTGTTAGTAGAAAATTAAATAATGTATGAGAACATAAAATTATGAAGTATTTGATAAATACAAGGCATTGTCAGGCAATCACTTCGTGTTCATTGGGTAAATGTAGCATCACTGCTCCTTTGAAATACTTTAGAATTAACTGAAATAAAAGAGAGAACTAAGTTGTTTTTTGAGACAGAGTCTTGCTATGTAGTTCAGGCTGGCCTTGAGGTCACTGTGTAACCCAGGCTGGTATGTTCAATGATTGCTGAATGAAAAGAAAATAAAGAAAAGAGGCAGTGTGGCTAATTGTTTTCTAGAATTGAAAAAAAAAATTTGGTTCTCAGAATAAAAGGAACTTATCAGGTTTGATATGGTGGCATATACCAGTAATCCCAGGATTTGGGAGGCTGATGCAGGAAGATTACTGCAAGTTTCAGTCCAGCCTGGGCTACACAGTGAGTTCAAGGCCAGTCTGGACTAAATGAATACATTTAAAAAAATATCCAATGTGGACCATAAAAAAATACTTCTTAGAGTACAAAAAGCATGGAGATCTAATGTAATTTGTGCATTGGGATAAAAATTTGATTTTTTTATCAAATGTATAAATACATTGACTCAAAAATAGTAATGTAATCTGGAAGACTATGATTTAGAAAGTGGCCACAGTTTTGTGTGAGGAGTTTGAATAAAAAGGAGCTATGGCTAGGAATCACTACATGCCTATAATTCCAGCTGCTTTGGAGGGTGAGGCAGAAAGCTCCAAGTCTAAGCCCCTGAGCAGCTCTCTGAGACCCATCTAAAATGAACAAGAATGGGCTGGGATATGGCACGTATCCACCGGGGGTTTAATCCCTAGCTTGGCCTCCCCCAAAAGACATGTGAAGTGTAATAGTTCTTAATATTTTATAAATAATTTTTAACGTGTACATAAACTAATATCATAAATATACATTTTAATATTCAAGTACAACTTATTTGGATTGGCAAATTAGGGAGATCGCTTTTTAAAAATTAAAGTCTCTTGGCAGAAATATTACTTAAATAAGTTTCTTTTCAAATGTAGCACTTCTCACTATAGATTTTCAAGTTTGGAATTATAATAGTTTTAGGGACAGCTGGTTATTATTTTAGATCTTTTAGATTTGTAGGAAGAAACGCCATTTTGGGGGGGGCTGACTCAGGCTGTCCTGAGGGCGGGACTGATAGGGCATGTGGTGTTGGATCAAACCTCGGTTCCCTGTAGCTACCTAAGCATATCTAAGCATATGCTTTAGACCTGTAGACGTGAGCTATCTCACCAGCCCGAAACTCCATTCTTTTAGATCTTTCTTAGTAAGACATTTACTGTATGACAGCGTGTTGGTTTTCCTTGTTTAGAGTTGTTGTTCTAGGTGAAGGTACAATTTAGCACTGGTTTCTGGCAATTCTAAAGTTCATTGATGGCCGCTAACTTGCTCTGGTTTTCGTGTGCAAGTGCTGTGGCTGTTTTATATACTGTAGGTAACTAAGAAACTCAAATACTTTTCCTATACTCGAGCTTTCAAGAAAAAAAACCAACATTTTTTGAATTTTTTTCTCACGACTACATTAAAATTTCCTATTTTTTATTGTCTTTTTTTTTTTTTTGAGTCAGGGTCTCATTATGTAGTTTAGGTTGGGCTTGAACTCACTATGGATGGAGCCCAGGCTGGCCTTGAGCTCAGAGCAGTCCTCCTACTGCAGCCTCCTGAGTGCTGTGATTACAGGCATCTACCATCATGTTCAGCATTCTTGTTGCCTTTGGTGGTAGAAAAGAAAGGTTCAAAAGTTTTCTTCAACTTAGTTGTAAGAATCTGAATCCACTCTCACTTTTACTGTCTTTTTTTGCTCTAGACGAGGTACAGGGGTGATCCAGACTGACGAGGCAGCATTTGAATCCTTAGCAATCATGTCTGGTGGCTGTATATTCTAACTAAATTAAAACTTTTAGTTGATTAGCATGCTTTATATTATTTGATTTTGATATGTGTGGTATGAAGACTTTGAAAATTAGGAGACTTCTATTACTTTTAACTCATTTCAAAATGCTTTTTTGTTTATGTTTTAGTTAGAATTAAAAAGCCTTATTAAAAAGATAATGAGTACATTGTACTTCTTTTTGTTTAACAGAAGGTGACAACAGGACTTATACACGTGAAGAGTTTTTTAAAAGACTGACAGAAAAGGAAGGAAAATGCCGAAACCAGTAAGTATATGTTACTACTTTTGACACTATTCCTTAATAAGACATTGTTACCGTAGTTCTTATTTTTTGGGAGTTGGTCAGATTTGGGAAAGTTGTTGGAAGAATGTGCACTGCTGCTGTCACTGTTAGATTACTGTAGCTAAAGCAGTTTTGTGTGGGCAGTGGAGAGGAGACCTGGTTGATGTTGTAGTTAATTAAAATTCATGCTCATGGGGGCAGACTCTCAGTGCTTCTGTCCTTTGTTAACATCCTTCAGTCTCTCCACTTTATTTTGTCCTTAGTTAACTTAAGGAGTGTGGTGAGGATTAAAGAAATCTCATACACATTCACTGCTCAGTAAATGTAACTGATTGTGAAGAGAAATAATGGAAAGGTCAAGAGGGCTTATGTGCATTAATTTTTCATAATTCTAGTTTCAGTGCTAGTGATATCGATATTATATACACTGATCATATACTAAATCAGTTTCCTTATTTTAAAATTGTGTGGTTCTTCTGGACTAACATTCTTGTTGTCTCATCTAATAAAATGGAATGTTCTCAGTACTGTTGACCAATAAAATTTTCTAGAAAACATTATAGTTATTAGAGTTTTCAGGCATAAATATCACTTAGGAATGACTTTAATAACTCAGCTGGCAGCAAGACATTGTTGATGGAAAAATATAAAAATAAACAGAAGACCAGAAAGAAAGAAGTAAACTTTTCTATTTACAGATGACATGACTATTTTTGTAGACTGTCCTTACAAATACATAAAGCAACTATTACACCTAGTAACTGAATTTGGCAAGATTTTCAGATACAAAGTTATATATAAAAAAAGGGTTTTTTTTTTGGTTCTTTTGTATTTTAGGAAAGGGTCTACAGAGTGTTCAGGGTCTCACTACTAGATTGGACTTGTAGTGATCTGCCTGTTTACAGCCTCCCAAGAGCTGGGATTATAGGCATACGCCACCACACCCAGTCTCAATTGCCATCTCAGCATGCCCCGGGAGCGGGGCCAGTATTTCAGGCCCAGGGATCAAACCCCTGGCCCCTGATAAAAAATAGTTTTTAAAGATAAATTCCTGCCAGTTTGAAAACTGAAGTTTGCAGACTTAAAAAAAAACAAAAAAAACCCACCCAAATGTGTAGAAGTTGTACAAAATTTCTATATTGGGGGACCCCTCAAGACCCAGCCCAAGCCCAGCAGGTGAGTGAGAACTTCCTCTGTGCTCTCAGGACCCCTCTAGACCCAGCCCAAGCCCAGACCCATTGAGTGTGTGGGAGAGCTTCCATGCTCCCCTTTGCCTGCTGGATCCCGCTGGACCCAGCCCAGGACCACTTGTGAGTGAGTCCTTCTGTCTTGCTCTCTGGACCCCTCCAGAACCAACCCAGGCCTGTCATACAGGCCTGGGGTGAAACTCTGCAGCTGAAGTCCCTGCAAAGAGGCTAGGGGCCAGAATCGCCCAGCTAGTCCAGGGGCAGAACATCTTATCAGAGGGGCACAACAAGTTCACTTCCAAGGACTGCAGCAGGAAGAAGCTGAGCACAGCAGCCAGATCCAAGCCAGGCACAGCTGGATCAATTCACACTTCTTAGATCTGCACCCGAATTTCAGTAGGTGCTAAGGTTATCACTGCATCAAAGCTCTACACCAAAGGCCAGAGGACAGTGATATACAGAATGACAAAGAGAAGGAGCAAAATGCAATCTCAGGCCCTGAGCCCACCCACAACAAGTGTAGAAGACACTAGCACAGAAGAAATTGGGAATCACACAGCTGAAATTTCTGAATTAATAACGTCTGAAGTAAAGAAACAACTGCAGAAAGGTATAGAAGAACAAGAATCAAATGCAGAAGCTATACATATAGAGGAAATCAGATCAGAAATCTGAAGTAAAGAAAGGATAACTATAATGAAAGAATTAATAACTGCTTCTCAAAAAGACACTGGTAAAAGAAGGAGATTAGAAAAACAATGGAATCCTTGAATGAGCAACATAGGAAAGAAATAGATCGCATGAAGCAGAGTCGAAGAGATATAGAGGAACTAAAAAAAATCACAAGCTTGCAAAACTGTTTGAGTGAAAGTGAAGATAGAGTTTCAGATCTTGAAGATGCCATTGCAGCTAGTGAAAAGGTAAGAAAAGATCTCTTAAAAACAACTAGAGGGCCGGGGAGATGGCTCAGTGGAATAAGCACTTCCCTGGCAAGCACAAGGACCTGTGTTCAATCCCTGATTCTGGAAAAAAAAAAAAAAAAACAACTAGGATGCAGGAAAAAATAATCCATCACCCAAGACAATGCAAAGATGAAAAACGTGAGACTAATAGGCATCAGTGAGAAAGAAGGAGTCCATACAAATGCTGTAAAAAGAATATGGGCAGAAGTAATAGCAGAAAACTTTCCAAATATGGGGAAACAATCTGACATTGAGTTAAGCAAAGCATACAGAACTCCAGATAACATCAACCTAATTAAAAACACACCGAGACATATAATAGTCAAGATCCCAGGAATCTAGCACAAGAACAATATACTGAAAGCCGCTGGAGAAAAGAAATAGATCACATTAAAAGGAAAACCCATCAGAGTAACAGCAGACTTCTCTTCACAAACCATGAAGTCAAGAAGAGTATGGAGCAGAGTACTTCAAGTCCTCTATGAAAACAAATTCCAGCCCAGACTACTGTACCCTGCAAAACTTTCTTTCAAGTGCGATGGAGAAGTGAAATATTTCCATGACAAAGAACAACTAAAGAATTTCATGATGACAAAGCCAACTCTACACAGACTGCTGAAAGATGTTCTAGAGAGGGACCAAAATGATTAGAACTCCATGAATGAGGACAGAAGGAACCCACTAAATTGGACAAACAGTTAAACACAGGAGTAAAAGGAGTAAACAGCAGGTAAATAACATGTCGATAGTAAATCAATACATCTCAATTATAACCATCAATGTAAATGGACTCAATTCACCAATTAAAAGAAATAGACTGGCACAGTAGTTTAGGAAATAAAATCTAATAATATGCTGTATACAAGAAACACACTTAATTCATAAAGACATTCATAGGCTGAACATCAAAGGATGGAAAAAAATAATACATATCCCAGCACCTCAGACAAAAGCAGGTGTAGCAATCCTGTTTTAAGACAATCTCAACTTCAAACCAAGAATGATCAAATGAAATAAAGAAGGCCACTACAGGGGGCCTGGCCCTAGCTCAGGCCTTTAAGTGGCTGCTTCCACAAAGCTGTCAGCCTCAGGTTGCTGGAGTTCGAACCTCACACCTCTCCCGCTGGCCAAAAGTGCCCTGAAGGCATTCGAGGAACCAAAAAAAAAAAAAAAAAAAGAAGGCCACTACATACTGATTAGAGGAAAAATTCAAGAGGAAAAGGTAACACTCTAAATATGTATGCACCAAACACGGGAGCACTCAACTATGTAAGACAAATCTTAATGGGCATGAACAATCTAATATCCAATACCATAATCTTAACAGGAGACCTTAACGCCCCATTATCCCCACAAAATAGGTCAAGCAGACAAAAAATTAGCAAAGGAGTGGCAGAACTGAACCAGAGCTTGGAAAAAATGGACTTAGTGGAGATACACAGAGTGTTCCACCCAACCACAGCTGAATATACATTTTTTTCATCTGCACATGGATCATTTTGTAAAAGACCACATACTAATCCATAAGTCATGCTTAAGTATATGCAGGAAAACAGAAATTATGCCATGCATATTATCTGACCACAGTGCAGTGAAACTGGAAATAAATGACAAAAGAAACCAGAAAAAAATCCATAAATACATGGAAATTAAACAACACTCAGCAACCAGTGGGTCACAGATGAAATTAAACAAATTGAACAATATCTACAATTGAATGAAAATTCAAACACAACTTACTAGAATTTATGGGATGTGATGAAAGCAGTTCTCAGAGGGAAATTTATAGCTGTGAACTCACACATTAGGAAAACAGAATGGGAACAAATAAACACCCTAGTGTTGCACCTTCAGCATCTAGAAAAGGAAGAGAAAACCCAACCCAAAGCCCAAAGACGGGAAGAAATCAAAGATTAGAGCAGAAATTCAATCGAGATAAAAACCGTTCAAAGAATTAACAAATCAAAAAGCTGGTTCTTTGAAAGATTAAACAAAATTTCTGCACTGAAAACTGAGAAATTAAAAGATCTAGCTAGAAATTAAAAGATCTGGAAGGCATAAGTCATGCTTAAGTATATGCAGGAAAACAGTCCTAGCACTTTGGGGGCTGAGGCAGGGGAGTTGGAAGCTCAAGGTTATTTAACAAGACCCTGTTTCAAACTAAGAAAGGACTGGAGAAAGATGTAAGTACAAGGGTCCTAGTATTGCTATCCAGTAGTCCGCATGAAGATTTGACAATAAACTAGTGTTTATAGATTTGTTTACAAGTTACTATTAAAATGTCAGTTCTCCCCAGATGTATTGGTAAATTTAGTTCATTTCTAGTCAGTTGAGTCCCAGGAGGCTTTTTTTTCAGTAAAAGTAATTGTGAAAGCTATTTTAAGGAACAACAGTTTAGAATGTTCTCACACACCTGGATTTTATGACTTAGTCTCAAGCTTCAGAAGTAAGACTTGTAGTTTTGGTGAAAGGATAGGTTATAAGATCCAAGGAACAGAAATAACATATATACACACTTGGAGTCATTAGATTTTTGACAGAATGGTTACACACTTGAATGGAGAAATTTCTTTTCAGCAAATGTTGATGGAACAAAGAATTATATGAAAATCCATGAACATTGACCCTTTACTTATATTTTAGAATTAACTCTAAATGGAATATAGACCGAAGTACACAAGTCCAGTTTATGAATGTTCGAGGTGAAAATAATAGGAAAAAATTTCGTAACTTTGAGGTAGACAAAAGTGTCTTATGTAGTATACAAAAGGTTGGAGCCTCTTATTAAAGAAAAAAAAAATCAAGACTTTAAAGTTAAAGCATTTTTTCCTTTTATGAAAGGCAGCAGTAACAACATAGAAAGTCATGAAAAATCCAATAAGTGCTAACATAGTTGTAATGGGGGACCTTAACACCCCATCATTACAATAGGTCAACTGGACAGAAACACAAATACCAGAACTGAACCAAACCTTGAACAAACGGACTTAATAGATGTCTACAATGTTCAGTCCCACTTCACAGTTCGTATTCTTCTTAGCTGCATGTGGGTGTTTTCCAAAACAGACCACATCCTAGCCTGTACAACGTGCCTAAGTAATTGAAATTATCCCATACATGCTATCTGACCATAGTACAATGAAATTGGAAATCAGTGGCAGAAGAAACCACAAAGACCACATACTAATCCATAAGTCATGCTTAAGTATATGCAGGAAAACAGAAATTATGCCATGCATATTATCTGACCACAGTGCAGTGAAACTGGAAATAAATGACAAAAGAAACCAGAAAAAAACATTAAATACATGGAAATTAAATGACACCCTACTCAGCAACCAATGGGTCACAGATGAAGTTAAACAAATCGAACAATATCTACAATTGAATGAAAATTCAAACACAACTTACTAGAATTTATGGGATGTGATGAAAGCAGTTCTTAGAGGGAAATTTATAGCTGTGAACTCATACATTAGGAAAACGGAATGGGAACAAATAAACACCCTAGTGTTACACCTTCAGCATCTAGAAAAGGAAGAGAAAACCCAACCCATTTAAATACATGGAAACTAAGTAATACCCTAATGAACAACAAAGGGGTCACAGATGAAATTAAGGAAGAAATTAGACATATATACCAGGGTTCAAGAATGTAATGTTGGTTTTCATGTTTTATACCGACTCTGTTGTTTTAACTTGGTACTTAGTGTACCCTTAGTCTGCAAGTCAGTTTCTGTAAAGCCTTTTTTTTTTTTACAATTTGAGGAATTGGATGTAGAACCTTGCACATGTTTGGAAAACACTTTACCACTGAGTTATGCCCCAGACAAGATCCTATTCAAAAGCAAGGGATATCTTTCCATTTTCTGATACCCTCTTTGATCTACTTTAATAGAGTACTATAGTTTTCAGAGTACAGGCAGTTAGATTGATTCCTAAGTATTTCATTGTTTGGAAAGCTATTGTGAAAGGTGAGGCGTGCTATTCCTAATTCCTCTTTCAGCAAATTTGTTATTTGGGTACAGGATTGGTATTGATTGTTGAGTATTGATTTTGTATCCAGCTATACTACTTACTTTGGTTACTAAATCTGGAAGCATTTTAGTGGAGTTTTGGGCGTCTTCTATGTAGAGTATCATGTCATCTGCAAATAATCACAGCTTTCAGTTTTGTCCATTTAGTGTGATGTTGGTCATTGATTTGTCATGGATGGCTTTTAGGTTGAAGTAGATATTTCTATTCCAATTTTCTATAGGGCTTTTATTCTGAATGGGTGTTGGACTTTGGCCAATGCTTTTTGTGCATCTGTTTAGGTGATCATATGCTATTTGTCCTTGGCTCTATTAATTTATTTACTTGTGTATGTTGAATCATCCTTGCATCCCTTATGTGAATCATACTTGGTCATGGTGTGTAACTTTCTTGATGATTTGCTGCATTCTGTTAGTATCTTATTGATGATTTTTGCATCTGTGTTCATGAGGGATATTGATTTATTTCTCTCATTTTAAAGAGATTTTAAAAACATTAAAAATGATACAGAATTTCAAAGCAAGATTTTAGGATATCAACAAAGGTTATTATATTGTATATTGTTACCTTCTAATTCTTTTTCTTGATTGGGTCCTTCTGTAGTTTTATTTCCAAGAATGAATTTGGGAATATTGCTTCCTTTTTGGTTTCATTAGAGTTTAAGATGTAGTAGTATTGAGTCTTTTCTGAATGTCTTATAGAATTCAGCAGTGAATCTGTCAGGGTCTGGGTTTTTCTTTGTGCGTAGGTTTTTAATGGTTCAATTTCATTGCCTGATACTGTAATGCTTACAATTTGTATATCTTCTTGATTCATCCTTAGTAATTCATGCGTATCTAGAAATCTGTCCATTTCACCTGCGCTTTCCATCTTAGAACACAGGTTCTCTGAGTAGGTACAGATGATCTGGATTTCTGCAGGATCTGCTTTGATTTCACCCTTTTCATTCTTGGGTGAATAGATGAGTCTTTTTTTAAAATTTTTTTGATAAGGTTGACTAAGAGCTTATCAATTTTATTTAGTCTGTCAAAAAACCAGTTCTTTGATGCAGTGATTTTTGTATTGTTTTCTTAGTCTCCATTGCATTAGTTTCTGGTCTGATCTTTATAATTTCCTTTCTCATTAGTGCTTTGGACTTGCTTTTCTTTGTCCAGAAACTTGAGATTCAACATTAAGTTGTCCGTTTGAGCTTGCTCTGTTTTCTGGATATGAGTACTCACTACCGTAAATTTCCCTCTTAGGACTGCTTTCATTATGTCCAGTAAGTTCCAATATATTGTATTGGCATTATTATTCACTTGTAGAAACTGCCTAACTTTTTTTTCTTTTGGTACCAGGGTTCAAACTCAGTACCTTGTGCTTGCCAGGCAGGTGCTTATGCTGCTGAGCTATATCCCTGACCTCTCTTAATTTTTTTCTTTAATTTCAGTTATGACCTATTGGTTGTTTAGGAGGGTGTGATTTAATTTCCATGTGCTTATGAAGTTCTTGTGGCTTCTTTTGCCATTGATTTCCAATTTCACAGCACTATTGTCTGATAATATGCATGGGATAATTTCAGTTCCTTTGAATTTACTTCAGCATGTTCTGTTAGTATATAGTTTATTTTGGAGAATATCGCATGTACAGCTGAGAAGCATGTGTGCTTTCTCGTGGGGTGGAACACTCTGTAGGCTTCTACTAAGTCCATTTGTTCAAAAGTTTGATTGAGTTCTAATAGTTCAGGCCTGGAGCATAGCTTAGTGGTACAGTGCCTGCCTGGCAAGCATGAGGTCCTGAGTTTGATTCCTATTACAAAAAAAAAAAAAAAAAAGGTAAAAGAAAATTTCTAATATTTCATTGTTGATTTTTTTTGTCTAATTGATCTTTGTTATAGTGGCATAATGAAGTCTTATTATACTTGTATTAGTGCTTATTTGACTTTTCATATCCATTCATACTTGTTTCATGTAGTTGGTTGAATGGGTTTTTGTTGTAGATATATTTATGGTTATCTTTTCCTTTTGGATTGTTCCCTTAAGGAAGCAAGAGAATAACAAGTACAGAATGAATTTTGGTGCTTACCTGTGGGGGAATTGAAGCTAGGGAAATTCATTAAAAAAATCACAAACAAATCAGTATATACAATCATATCTGTTGTTTCTAACTAAGTTGGATTTTTAAAAATTTTTTGCAGAACCAGAGATTGAACTCAGGCCCTTGCGCTTGCCAGGGAAGCACTTATTCCACTGATCCATCTCCCTGGCCCTTAAGTTGGATATTATATTTATGCATTTCAATTTGTTGTTTTAGTTTTTTATAGATACATGTATTACTTTGTATCTTTTTCAGTAAGATATTTTAAAGCGAAAATACAAGATTATTTTAAAGGAGGATGAATCTGTAAGATTTGATCAGTATTTTAGATAAAAACCATAATGTATGTTGAGGTTGTAGTTGTTACAATGACTAAGATATGTAAAGGGAAATAATGAGACTAGAGTTTTTATATTTTAAAGTTACAAAATAGGTTTGGACTATAGTGTGAGGGATTCTGGGTCAAGATGCTGCTGTGGACTGAAAATTATTTTGCTCAGGCATGCTAGATTTTTAACATAATCTCATTAGAATTTATTTGTACAAGACAATTAACTTTTAAAATACAATCTAGCAAGTAAAAGGGTTTTAGAAAAATTTCGTGAAGAATACATTTGCAGTATAATACTACATATTAGATTTTATGTTGACAGAAGCAAGGGCTAGTGAGTGACATTAGGAATGAACTGTCTGCTCTGTTGTTCGACATCTCTGTGTCCGCCCCCCAAAGGTGGGGACCCTTTGAGTGTCCATGGAAATGAACATAGCTTCTCCTAGTATTGTTGAAAAGGAAAAATGAGTGCAGTGGCAGGGGTTCGATTTCGGATGTGCCATGCCGGCCTGTTCCTGGGATGTGCTGAGACAGCAATGGAGACTGGGCGTGGTGGCGCGTGCCTGTAATCCCAGCTCTTTGGGAGTGTGTACGCAGGTGGATCACTATGAGTTCAGTCTGTGCAGTGGGACGCTGCAGACCTTGTACTAAAATAAAATAAAAAAATTAAAGTTTTAAAGAAAAAGGCTAAATGGCAGCACAGACAGTCCAACATCCCAGTATATGTTAAGAATTTAGTAATGGATAGTTTTATTTTATTTTTATGTTTTGTATTTAATACAGTACAGAGTCTATAGGGACTCACTACACAGATTGGACTCAAAGTGATCCTCCTGTTTTAAGCACTGGGATTACAGGCATGCGCCACCGCACACCATCTCAATTGCTGTCTCAGTGCTAGCACAACTCGCTGGGGATTGAATCCCCGTCCCTGTGTCTGCTTAAGCAGGCAATTTAATCTGCTGAGCTATCTGGCTGGCACTTAGTAACAGATATTTTAAAATGAGAACTTCATAATCTTTTTGTTTTTCATATAGATTTAAGATTTCATGTTATGAAAATCAATCTGTATCACTTTAATAAAATATCAATCAGAATAGCTTTTCACTCTTCTTGCATAAAAAATACATTCTCTTTCCTAATGATTGTCCCTTTTGCTTTTATTGCAGATCAACGTAAGAGTAACTACGATGGATGCTGAGTTGGAATTTGCCATTCAGCCTAATACAACTGGGAAACAGCTTTTTGACCAGGTACTAAACTGCGTGCAGCATAGAGCTTGTGGCACCATCGTACGGATATTAGTGCATGCTTCTCTGTGTTTTCCTGTACTTTTGTCAGTAATCCAATAATATACTTCATTGATAATGCAGCAGTGTAGCACTTGTAATTTTTCATAGTATGTGTTCAGATAACTGAGCAGGTATAGGGATGTTCTTTATTTATTCTCATTCCTATATTTATGGCAGAAGACTTTATATTTTAAAAGAATTTTAATTCATACACATATATAATGTGATGTTACTATTATATATATATATATATATATATATATACACGACGTATAATGTTTAAATTAGGTTAAACATATCTACTCAGTTACTTGTTTTTGAAGAAACATTAAAAATCCTTTCTTTTAGCTTCTTAAAATGTACAGTGCATTATTGTCTCTGATCACCTGTTTCATAGCACACCAGGGCTCGTAGAACCCGTTGATCAGCCCTTCCTCCTCCTCCTCTCCCCCCACCCTCCCGCCCTCTCCTAACCGTGATTTTGTTCTCAGTTTTGTGAGAAACTTTTTCATTACACATAGGGGACAGATTGTGTGGTACTCTTTTTTTTGTGCCTTGCTTACTTAGTGATTTCTGTTTCTATCCATGTTATTGCAGGATAGGACTTTTAAATAATAATACCAGCAGGTCTTTACCATTGCCTGTGAAAATCATTGTGATGGTGATTAAAAGGAATTATGGACATAGTACATAGTCTGTTAGTGAAGTAGGTGAAACTCCTAGATCAGGCAGTAGAGGCAAAGGGTGAGGGGTGATATGATGTAGGTGACAGCAGTTTGGAATCATAGACTCATGACTTCTTAGGCCAGGGATGGGCATAGAGGTCAGAATGTCCCATTGAGTGACTTGGACTGTTGAGCTTGTCGTTTTTTACCTCCTAGTGTTTTTTTTCAGGACCTTGCACTTGCCAGGCAGGCACTTAGGCCACTGAGCTACATCCCTGGCTTGCCCCCCTCGGTCTGGAGAGTCTCAACCCTGTGTGTTTGTGTGTTGAAGGAAAAAAAAAGGGGGGGCTGTACTTGGAAACTGCTCTCAGGGATTCTGATTTAATTGTTTGGGCCTATTACATAGTTTTTTTAAAATTGAAGCTGCTCAGATCATGCTGTATTATAATCTTGTCAGCCATCAAGTTTTACTGAGAAAAGAGATCAGTGCCTTTAGGCCAAGTCAAAAATGAGAGAGAGCGAGAGCAAGAGAGAGAGAGAAAGAGAAAGAAAGAAATTGCTGCGAGAGAGGAAGACAGTGTATCTTTCATGGCTTGAGACTTAGAGGGTCATGACATTGACATAGACTTCACGTAAACTATTACACAGCAGCAAGGTACAAGTCTGCAGTCCAGTGAACTTGACCTTGATAATGAGGTTGACGAGGCACTGGCCTTGGCCAGTTGAGACAGACGCGTCAAAGAGTTGACCCCAGCCTGGAAGCTTACTCAGACCCTGTCTCAAAATAAGAAAGGAAAACAATGATAAAAAGAGTCTAGTATTGCAGCAATAAATATGTATTATTTATTGGGTGTCATTGGTTTTATTAGGTGTCGTTCTGTGACATACTGATGCATACCTTGTTCGCTTCTCTTCTTGAGACAGGCTCTTGCTATGTATGCAGTTGAGGCTGGCCTTGGACTCACTAGGGAGCCCAGGCTGGCTTCACACGCGCAGTGATCCTCAGGCTTCGGCCTCTCACAGGCTGGGATCCAGGCATGCGCCACCACGCCTGGAGGATGCAAAGCTGATGAAGTAAACATTTTAAGGTTTTGAGAAGTTTTGCATTTCCTGATTAGGCAATAATTAATGAATTTTTAAAATCTTAAAACGTTTTCTTTTTAATGAAGAAAAGCTTTTTTTGTTTTGTTTTGGTATATATGTATGAGACACTTTTTAATGTAAAAACGATAAGCAGCTGTGTACACCATGCCTGTGAACTAATAAACCACTTCTGTTGATTCTGCTGGGCTTCTTCGTGCATTTGTATGTGGGTATGTACACACATAGACACACCTTAAATAAAAATGTAAATGCAGTTAGCATTTATTTTACTTAAAACTCATTAAAATGTTATATTGAGTAAACATGACACTTCAGAATTAATCATCGAGTGAGCTCTTCTGGTACTAGATGTTGAGATTATAGCGCTGGCCAAATAGCTCAGTGAATTAAAGTGCCTGCAAGCAGACACAGGGCTGGGTGTTCAATCCCTGGGCTTGCTTTGCCAGCCCTGCCCCTGGGGCATGTTGAGATGGCAATCGAGACTGGGCATTTGAGACTGGGTGTGGTGGTACGTGCCTGTAATCCCAGCTCTTGGGAGGTTGTAAACAGGCAGATCACTGAGTCCTATCTAGTAGTGAGACCCTGAATCCGCTATAGATCCTTACCTAAAAATACGAAAAAAAGAAGAAAAAATTCCCTGTAGAATGTGAAAAAATAAATAAAATAGAATCATGTCATTTGGAAACCAGGGAAAATGAAACCTTACATATTTTATTGTATGATGACATGTAGAGGCTTAAAGTGTGCAGGCTCTGGAGTGATTCTGCCTTTAGTAGTTCCAGCTGCACCTGCTTGACACTGGGAGTGTTAATCTCTTTGCCTCATTCTTTTTTTTTTAATTATATTTTTTTAACATTTATTTATTTATTTATAGTGTGTGTGTGTGTGTGTGTGTGTGTGTGTGTGGCCAGCTCAGCCCACCAGGGGGCGAGGCTGGCTGGCATGTGGTGCTGGGGGATTGAACCGTGGTCCCTGTGCTTTGCCAAGCTTGTTCCAAGTAGGTGCTTTAGACCACTGAGTCATCTCGCCAGCCCCAAACATTTAATTTTTTTTTGGAGGGGGGGCGGAACCGGGGATTGAACTCAGGCACTTGTGCTTGCCAGGGAAGCGCTTATTCCACTAAGCCATCTCCCCGGCTCCTCTTTGCCTCATTGTTGTGATTTGTACAATTAGGGTGATGATAACACCGCTCTTAGAGGCTTAGTTTTGAATCCATGTAAAGTGAGTGGAACAGTATTTGATGTTTCACACACACCTACATTAATACTGTAAACGATGGTGTAGAGATTGAGTATTGCTGTTTGTTACAGTTTCTTACTAATTCTGTCAACATTGCTCTGTTTCTTGACAATTTCCCTTGGCTCAAATGGAAGAATCTAAAAGTATTGGTTGGTAGTAGACTATGTGGATGAGCTGGCGGGTAGATAGGCAAGGCCAGCAGCAGGCTGAGGCATCGGGAAAGAGGGTGCGTAGGTTCGGGGCTCCATGTCAGCGGAGTCCTACTGTTGATGATAATGTTAGATTGAGGCCAGTTGTGAAAGTTAGAGGTGCTTGTTTTGAGAGCATAAAGTCCTTTGGTGTGTGCTTTCCTTAGTAGTCTTTGCTAACCTCTTCATCCAGCTTCTACTTGTGAGAGTAAAAGTATCCATGTGCCTAAAGAATATACAAGAAAATCTATTAGGGTGCCAGAAATAGGGAAATGTTGGTGGTTTTTTGGTACTGGGAATTGAACTCTTAGGATCCTGTGCTTGCCAGCCAGGCACTGTGCCACTGAGCTATGTCCCTGACTGTATTTTTATCTTTTCTAGATTCTTTTAAAAGGCATGCTCTGTAGTATAGTAACACAAAGTATATACTGTATACCATCTGTTGTGTATATTATATACTGTAGGTCTTGTAAGTAAATTTATGTATATATCTACAGTAGTTCAGTGCCTGGCATTTTTTTACTTAAAACAGTATGTGATCAAAAGTTGCTGCTTATATACCCAGAAGGACGGAGAAAGCTGGTGCGGGGAGGTGAAGGCTGCTAGGGACAATCACGGCTGGGCGTGCTGACTCCTGTGTGCTGTGGTAGGCTGCTGCTGGTTACAGCAGTCCTGCGCGCTCCTCTCCACTAGCCAGTGCTGAATGTCACGAAGCAGGAGGCCAGCTGCTTGGATTCACTAGTGCACTGCTCTTGTCCTGTACGTTTCCTGCTCCTGCCACTCTGAGCTTAACTGTTCTCTGTGACTCTGCTGGAAAAACTTCTCTTTTGCCAAAGTTAATATTGGTGACTGCCTTTCGTTTGCACCAAATTGTTGATTATTACTGATGAGCTTTTGTATAATTTGTGTGACTCTTTATGTTCCACATCTTCCAGAAATTGCTTTTTGATGAATCTGTTAACTGTTAAATGTTTTTTCTTATTTTTAATATTTTTATGTGTATCATTTCAGTGAAATTTTTCAGATAAGGAAAAGTAGAACAGAAGATTCAATTCACTATTCTGAAATCAAAAGCCTGCAATATTTTGAGATTAAAATAAGCCAAGAATGTTCATCATTAAGAACTGATATTAAATGTTTTTGTAAAACTTTCTAAACACGGATGAGGTCACTTCTCCTGACATTCCACGTTTTAAAATAGTTTTTCTTTTTTAACAGATACTTTTGTTAAATGTGGGTATGGTGGGTATGCATCTTACAGCTATCATTTTATTTTTTCTGCTACTTTTGAGTGCTTATTAAAAAATAAAAGTGTCTCTATTGTTACATTTTAAAGGAGAATGAATACACTATAAATAATAACACAGGTAATGATGATAGGATAGAATACATGTTTGAACCAGTAGGATATTAGGTGATGCTATCAGGGAACCAATGATTAATTTTATCTGGATGACAGGAGAACTTTCTTCACAGAAGAGGTGTTAGTTCAGCAAGTCTTGAAGAATAAAGTGTTCAACAGGCAATAGAAATACAGAAGAAACACTCTAGGCAGAGAGAAGCGTGAGCACAGAAACGTAGGAGGGTGAAGTTCACGGCGTGCCCCAGGAATGGGGTTCTGCTCAGTGAGATCAAACAGATTGCATCAGACTTCTTTTTTAGTATCAACATGATACTGTTTGCCTAAATGATGTATTTGTAGGGTAAACTGAAAGAAGCATGGGATTATTATAACTATATTCTCCTGAGCTGTTAATTATTGATACTATGATGGGAAATAAGATGATACAAAAATTCAAGTAAGAGGAGATGAGTAAAGTGACACTACAAAGTTGGTTATAGAAACTCTGAATGTTAAGTTAGATGTGGTAGCATACACCTGGCTTCCAGGACTTTGGGAGGCTGAGCCAGAAGGTCACAAATTCAGTGCCAACTTGTTAAAAAATGAGTTCCTGTCAAAAAAATAAAAAGAACATTTGAATTTAATGTTCATTGAATATGTCAAATTTAGCAAAGGCCCTTTCTCTGGCAAAAGTAAAGTTTTGTTCTTCTGATGTATATAATATGTAGTGTTAGTTACCTAGTTATAATTAAATTGCAACTATTTCATTTTGTTTTCTAGGTGGTAAAAACAGTTGGTTTGCGTGAGGTCTGGTTTTTTGGCCTGCAGTATGTTGATAGCAAAGGTTATTCTACATGGCTTAAGCTAAATAAAAAGGTTTGTATGATCCAATTAACTTACATTTGAAGTTGTAAATTTGAGCTGGTAAAGCTAAGGGCCTGACAGATTCTGAGCCTTTACAGCTGTGTCTGTTAATCATTCCAAGGTGTGGGGTCTTCTCATTCATTGAAATGCTGTCAGTTTTTATCTTAGAAAAGGATATGCTCGTTTTTCTACTTGGAAACTTATCAGGCCACCTAGATAGCTCAGGGGATTAAGCACCTCCTTAGGCAAGCGTAGAGACCGGGATGTTCGATCTCCAGCACCATGTGCCACGCTGGCCCCACTCCCAGGGTGTGCTGAGCCAGCAGTGGAGTCCAGGCGTGGTGGTGCACACCTGTAATCCCAGCGCTGGGAAGGCTGAAAACAGGAGGATCACTACAGTCTGAGCTGTGTAGTGAGACCCTATACCAAAAACATTTAAAAAAAAAAGAAAACTTAACATTTGAGGGTCTCTGACTTTAGGCAAGTATTACAAGTGGTGTAACTAAATACGTGTACCCTGATTTAAGCATTTCTTGGATAAAGCCAGGCATGGTTGGGCAGGTCTGTACTCCCAGCACCACAGAGGCTCAGAGGATTGTGGATTTGAGCCCAAGCTGGGCAGCTTAGTGGAATTCCATCTCAAAATAAAAATTAAGAAAAGGGCTGAGAGATACAGCTCATGAAGGTACTGGACTTAACCCTTGTACAGAAAAATCCAAAGGATAAGCTGCTTGAGTACATTAAGAGAAGCTTTCAATTGTAGCTGAAGGTAGAATTTTTTTTCTTGCATGTATGTTTGCAGATTTACAATCTTACATAGTACTACTTATTGACTTAGTCTTTTTTATTAAGTTAGTGGTACATTTTAGGTATACATAATGATCACATTTATTATATATAAGGCATTTGTACCTATAGATGGTATAACTTCTTTTCCCATTCCCCTATCCTCCCTTCAACCATCTTCTCTTTCTTCTTTATAAAAGCTTTGTTTCCATTTTCATCTTTTTAAAAAATAATTTATTTGGTCCAGGATCTCACTACACAGCTTGGACTTGTGGTGATCCTCCTGTCTCAGCCTCCCCAGTGCTGGGATTCCAGGCGAGCACCACCACATTGAGACTTTAGCCAGATCAGCATACCCTGGGGTGGGACTAGCATGGCATGTGTTGCCGGGGATTGAACCTGGATCCTTGTGCTTGCCAGGCAGGCACTTCGACCCCTGAGCTATCTCCCCAGACCCTCATCTTTTTTTTGACTTAGAATCTTTGATTTTACTTCCAACTTTCCTCTAAAAAATGTGACTAGATTTATTTATTATGAATTTGAGATTTTTGTTAATTACACTTGAAATTACTGTTCCAGGTAACACAGCAAGATGTTAAAAAAGAGAATCCTTTACAGTTCAAGTTTAGAGCTAAATTCTTTCCTGAAGATGTTTCTGAAGAATTAATTCAAGAGATAACCCAAAGACTTTTCTTCTTGCAAGTTAAAGAAGCCATCTTAAACGATGAGATATATTGCCCCCCAGAAACTGCGGTTCTTTTGGCTTCCTATGCTGTCCAAGCCAAATACGGAGATTATAATAAAGAGATTCATAAACCAGGCTACCTGGCTAATGATCGGCTACTACCGCAGCGGTAAGTGAAACATGTCTTTAGATTATATTCTCTGAAAATTTTACACTAGAAGTTTCTAAATTTAAAAAAGAAAAAGGTTTCCCCCAAGATTTAAGTCTTGGAAAAGTACATCAGAAAGTATATTTGAAAAGTGATGACCTAGCTACCACATAAATTTATATGCTAATTACCTAATACTGATTTTTTTTCTCCTGATTTCCATAGGATGGGCAGTAAGGAGGCTTTGATGTTTGAGCTTGAGAAAGGATGTCGGTTGTTGCTTATTAACAATTCTGAAACAGGTAGAAAGGTGTTTAATAACTAATTAATAAGTTTTGAGAAAGGGTCTTTTAAAGTTGTTCAGGCTGGTGTTGAACTTGTGATCTTTGAGCCTTTGCTTCCCAGAGTGCTGGGCTGTAGACCTGGGCCACAGTACCCAGCTGTTTTTATGTTTTATGTCTGTTTGGTTGTTTTGTTTTGTTTTTTGTTTTTCGGAGCAGGAACTCATTGTATCCTGTAGGCTGCCCTTGAACTCACTTAACATAGCCTGGGCTGGCCTTGAACTCAGGATGATCTTCCTGCCTCAGCCTCTCAAGTGCTTGGATTGTAGGCATGCCACCACCATGCCTGACTTTGTACATTTATAGAAAGGCTTTTTCACTGAGGCTTTCAGTCTTATAGGCTAGTGCTATGTTCCATTCTGCAGTGTTGAGCTACCTCTTTAAGTTATCTTAAAATATGCCATAGAAAGGGGAACTAGGTTTTGAGTACTGATTCTCCCCATTGGTAATTGCATAACCTTGAATATGTAGCCTGAAATTTCTGAGCCTCAATAACTACATGTGCGAAATTCAGATAAATGTTTTCTTCTGCCTAACATCCAGCTTGTCACTGGGTGGTGTATAACTTTTAACTATAAAGTGATACAAATGTTATTTGATATTATTGTTTGTGCAACATAGAAAGTGTACTGTCAAATATATTTTAGAATCTCAGTTGTTGAGCTTTGGTAGCACACATGTCCTTGGAAAGACAAAGTACATTGAGATCTCTGTTTCAGAACCTGGAAAAGTTCTTACTGTTCTTGAAGTCCCACCACCCATCACTAGTGTTATACTTGGCACCAGTCCCCAAAATGAATTTTGGTGAGGACAAACTGTAGAAATGTTCTTCAGGCTTTGGTAATTATTCCAATGCTAAGTCCTTTTTTCTTGGTCTTTGCTTTTCTCTTTTTGAAGCAAGATTTCACTGTGTTGTCCAGGCTGGTGTTGCATTCCTGAGATCTTGCCTCAGTCTTTTAAGTACTAGCACTACAGGCATGTGCCCAGCTATCTCAGATTTTTTAAATAGTAGTTGAGTAAGCAATGACTAGGACAAATGTTGTTTGATCTCTGTTTTTAAGTGTAGAAGAGGAGAGAAGCCCCTATGTAAAATGACCAGTGATTTAATGTCATGGAAGCCAAGGTAAAAGAGTGTTTTAGGGAGAAGAATGGCCAGCACTGTCATAGTACAAAGATCAAATGTGAGGAAAAGCTGAAGTATCTCTTGGGATTAGAGATCGGTAGTGACTGTAGTAAGAGCAGTTTCAGTCTGTGTTCCCTGTTGAAACCGGGTCATGGATTGGGAGCAGTGAATGACAGGCGTAGGGATTCTAGTTAGTGCAAAAGGACAGTCCTTAAAAGAAGTTTGGCTCTGGAAAAGGTGTGAATGCTGTAGGGGTACAAGGTGGGTTTTTAGGTTTATTCCTTCAGAGAGGGGGAAACGATTCACGCTTAGACTTCTCCAGGGCTACCGTTGTCCACAGAAGGGTGAGCAGTGGGCTGCGCTAGGGGATGCGTCTTAATGAGTCAGAGGCAAGAGCTGGAGTGTATGCATACAACGGACAAGAGAAAACGTTAACACAAGGACAGAGTTTTCTCTCCAAAAGCAAGAGCTTGAGCATAGATGCACAGAGAAAGCAGCAACGTGTAAGAAAAACATAATCTGACTCCATTAAAAATCCATTTTGAGTTATATATAACTTGTCCAGGGAAGATTAGAGGCTTAAGATTCCTTTATATGCCAAAAAATTCCGGGTTTCAAGTAAAACAATGGTATTTTCATACCACAACTTTTGCTATTGGTAAAATAGGATCTAAGTATTCATCATTAAAGGAAAGTGAAGCATTATTGTATGGCACGAAGAATCAGAATCAGAATCTACGATGTGTAGAACAGTAAAGTATAAGCACGTTGACGTCCTGATCCTGTGTTACGATACTAACAGAAGTAAGAATGGTGGTATAATAATGTTTATACTTGAGTAACGAACACTGAGGAAACAAAAGAAACTAATATATAATTTAAGGCATACTTGGGCCCAACTATGGTGGTTTTCTGTCCTTTGATTTTCTGTATTAAAAATGAGAAAGCCAGCCCAGGTATGATGGCACATGCCTGTAATCCAAGCATTCAGCTGGCTGAGGCAGGAAGATTGTCATGAGTTCAAGGCTAGCCTGCATTACATCGTGCATTCAACACAAGGCCAACCCCAACGCAAGACCCTGTCTTCAAAAAACAGAACAAAGAGAGAGAAAGCCATTTTTTAGGTTCTGTTTATTCGTTAGCAACATTGGAATTTCTATAAGCTATCATTATAACAGATATAATTAAAGCTGTTATTTAAAATAAGCTGTCGAGAAGCCTTTTACTTTGAGCTAATTATAGATTAAAATTCTATTTTGTATATGTATTTGTTTTTGAGATAGTGTCTCATTCTCTTATTGAGGCTGACCAAAAAACTCGTGGCTATCCTCCTGCCTTAGTCTCTCAAATCCTGGAATCATAGGTGTAGGCTACTCTACCAGGCTCAGAGTCCTGGCAGAGTAGTATCCAAAAACGATTGATTCCAGGTATCCTCCTCCCACATGACAACATCTTGTGAAAGTGTAGGTCAGTACTGCAGTCACCCTGCTGCCATGACCGTCTACTCACCTTACCGATTTCATCACTGTTACGTGTACTCGTTGTGTTTCTGTGTTTAGTTCTGTGCAGTTCTGTCATGGGTATTGATTCCTACGGCCGTCACTACAGCCAGATTAACAAAATGATTCTAGGCTTCTAATAGAATATTAACTTTGAGTCATAAAGGTATTATGGATTTCCCCCCCTTTTAGTGTCCTGGAACAGCACAAACTGACAAAAGAACAATGGGAAGAAAGAATACAAAACTGGCACGAGGAACACAGAGGAATGCTAAGGTAGATGGTAGACTATTTCATGTGTAGTTTTTTCAAGTTAGAAGTATTTTTTTTAAGTTAGTATTGCATCAGATTATCACTGTAGACTCATTTGACTTATGAATAAATGTAAAAGTACTAAATTTTACTTCAATGTATTTTTGTACTTTTAATGTTTAGATACTTAAGTGTTTTATATTTACCTTTATTTCAACAGGGAAGATTCAATGATGGAATACTTGAAGATTGCACAAGATCTAGAAATGTATGGTGTCAACTATTTTGAAATAAAAAATAAAAAGGGCACTGAGTTGTGGCTGGGTGTTGACGCTTTGGGCCTGAATATTTATGAGCATGATGACAAGTAAGTGAGTCAGTGGCATAGTGAGCTAGTCATTATTCAGTGGTCTGAATGGTTTTCACAGTATGTTATTTGTAAGTTATTTTTTATCTTGATTATCTGTCGTTTTTTTCCTCACATTAAGAGATTTGTTAATGTCACAGACTGTTAGGTACTATATTTCCATTTTCTGATCAGCACTTTGCAGTTTCAGAATTCTATTTCTCATCAAATAGGATGGAACTTTTATTTGAAGTTTATCTTTTGAGAGATGGCAGTATTGTTCAGTGGTAGCAGACCACTTGCTTTTTGTGTTGCTCTGGGTTTGAGCCCTAGCACTGCCAAAATTTTTGAACAAGATTCCCTCAGTAGGGTACATTTTGTTACATTTTATTATGCCTAACAAATAGAAGTTCGTGTATGTAAGAAACCTGAAGCAATGAGAAAATGAAGTTAATAGATGTTTATTACATTTAATACGTTAATTAAATGTTTATTACATTTTGGAACAGGGTTTTTGAACATGGTATCATTATTTTGAACACCAGTAGAATATCTCTATGTTAAGCATAGTGAGCATGCTATATTTTGCAGTTGGCTGCCTTTTTGTTTTATGTATAAGTTAATCAGTACTTTTTGCATTATACATAAATATGCTAAATAAACACTGTTATGCATATAAAACTCTTTAAAATATGCCAGATTCTTGCAGTCCTTTTTAGAAATAAGTATAGTTTTTTTTTGTTTGTTTTTTTTCCAGAACCGGGGATTGAACTCAGGCCCTTGTGCTTGCCAGGGAAGCGCTTATTCCACTGAGCCATCTCCCTGGCTCAAGTATAGTTTTTTATATCTTCTTTTATTATCAGACCACAAAAGAAATGAAGTCTGTACCAGTGAAACCTTTTCCTAAGGTGTTACAAAATTCTTTATTTTTGCATTGGTTCCAGGACTGTATCTTTCATATACGTATATCAAGTAAAGTATATATTCTAAAGCATATATGATGATTCCAAAAAAGAATTTTATAGATCTTACTCCATTATATTACAGAGCAAGTTAAGATGCTATATTAAGAAGAAAAATTTTGATGTCTTTAGAAAACATCATTTCAGGGGCCGGGGAGATGGCTCAGTGGAATAAGCGCTTCCCTGGCAAGCGCAAGGGCCTGAGTTCAATCCCCAGTTCCGCAAAAAAAGAAAAAGAAAACAACATTTCAAGACTAATTTTTATGGACTGACTCTACTTTTCTTTTTAACATTTTTGTATTGATTTCCAGGATTGTCATGGACACTTGTTTTAGATTTTTTTTTTTTTTAAAGTAGAATATAAATGTAGTGAAGTACTTATAACATTAGAAGTATTGTGCTCTGATGGCCTGCTTTTCAAGCAGACTGTGATTTATCTCAGTGGCCATTGTAAGGCAGTATGCCACATTGAATACAGGACATTTTATGTAGAAAAATAATTTACAATGCTATAGGACTAATTTACTTATGCATTAAAAGTAGCACAAATAGGCAGAAATCCTTGCTTTGTCCTTGCAAAAATCCAAAAGTCTTGCTGAAAGTTGTCTTTTGGCCAGTGAAGCTGTCGCATCTTTCATTCTTGTGATGAGGAGATGATGGTAGGGCATTTGATGGATAGTCTGCATCAGTAAAACATATGAAAAGAAGCAGTTACTTTTTCTGATCTAATTCCCTATACCTTTGTGAGCGGTGTGGTAAAAAGGTAGCAGCTATTGTATGGTCTTAGAGTCTGATTGCTAGTCCTGCCATTTATCTAGCCATTCGCATGTGTGAATATTTAAAACCTTTTTTTTTTTTTTCTCTATTTGAGATAGGATTTTAGTATTTAGTTGAGGCTGGCCTTGAACTCACTTTGTAGCCCAGGCTGCCCTTGAACTTGTGGCAGTCCTTCTGCTTCAGTCTCCCAAGTGCTGGGATTATAGACATGTGCTACCCATGCCCAGCCTAAAACTTTTATTAAGATATAATTTAAATAGCTTAAACTGATGCATGTAGTAATGAGACTGAACAAAATAAAAACTAAGTAGAACTAGTTTGAATAAGTGAGCCCAAGAAGTTCACTTCTATGCCAATTGTTAGATGGTTTTTTCTAGATGATTAAAAAGAAAAAAAAACTATAGAAGTTCAATTATGAAATACTTGAATGGCTATTATTTTGTTTATTGGATTTCTTTTGACTATCTGCCATATATTACGAGGACATTAATACATTTGTAAAATCTAGGATTCTTATGAGTGATCATTCACATAAGCCCCAGAAAGTTACTAATTTTGTCTACTGTTTTCCTGCTTTTAATTAAAGGGATGTACTTTTTTTTTTTTTTTTTTTTTTTTTTTTGTCTTTTTAAGGTTAACACCTAAAATTGGCTTTCCCTGGAGTGAAATCAGAAATATTTCATTTAATGACAAAAAATTTGTTATAAAGCCAATAGATAAAAAGGCACCTGTAAGTAAAAATTTTTAATCTTTATGTATTAATTTTGTTGTTGTTTTGCAGCACCAAGGATCAACTCAGGACCTTGCACTTGCCAGGCAGGTTCTTATGCCACTGAGCTGTTCCCTCCCATAATTCTTTAAATTCCTGATACTTTCCTGTGATGTTGCTTGAAGAATAGTGTTGATATTTATTGAACTGCTTCTGAGAAACATTCCATACTTTCCCCATGATAAAATATAACACAGTGTTTTTGAAAGATACAAGATCTTAAAGTTTTTACGGGATATAAAAGCATTTTATTTTAGCTGATATTCATTTATGAAGTGTGTAATATTAGGTGAACTACCACCCTTCCTAAGAAGCAGTTTTAGAATTTTTATTTATTGGTGGCTTGACAGTCATGGAAGCAGTGCTACTTTCAGTTGACTCTTTATACTCTTTGTTATGAGCTGCTCATTCATTCATTCATTCATTCATTCATTCATTCATTTATGGGTTTTTGAGACCAGGTCTATATTGGTCAGGATGGCCTTGAATTTGAAATGATTTTTCAGCCTCCTGGGTGCTGGAGTTTCAGAATATGCCACCACATCTGGCATGAACTTTTATGTTTATAACTTGAAGCTTTGGATTTTAAAATCTAAATGTATATTTAAAATTTATCTAGTGTCATATTCACTCTAGTATTTTGTCTCTGTAGACAAATCATAAAAATTTGAAAAACACTTAAAGACCTCTATAGTAGAGGGAGTAGGTGTTCATAGTAATTTAGGTGAAGAAAAACAAATACTGAATGGCTAAGATATTAAGCTCATTACAGAACTGTTGAGGTGTGAGGGGCTGAGAAAGTGGTTTTGTGGAAGTGTCTGAATTGGAGTTACGAAGTTTAACAATTTCTAAACTATAATATGACAGAATTTGTTCCTAATGTTGATATTCAGTAGATTGATGTGAAAGACATCATCTTCAAAGATTTTAAATTAAAAATATTTTGTATTTAGGATTTTGTTTTTTATGCACCTCGTTTGAGAATCAATAAGCGGATCTTGGCCTTGTGTATGGGGAACCATGAGCTGTACATGCGAAGAAGGAAGCCCGACACCATTGAGGTCCAGCAGATGAAGGCGCAGGCCAGGGAGGAGAAGCACCAGAAGCAGCTGGAGAGGTGCGTGTGTACAGCCTTTCATTGCATTTTTTTGAGACAGGGTCTCACTATGCAGTTCAGGCTGGGCTTGAGCTCACTTTGTAGCCCAGGCTGGTCTCAAACTCGAAATGATCCTCCTGCCTCGGCTTCCTGAGTGCTGGGATTACAGGCATGCGCCACCACGCCCAACTATAACTTTTTATTTTTAGTTGATAGAAGTGGGCTATCTAAAATGTAAGACAGCTCAGTTTCATTAAGTACCCTAATTATAGATTTTTACATGCTTTCATGTATTTAAACTGCAAGTGTTACTCCATTGTCCTCATTTAAAATGAGAATGTTTTAATTTTCAAGGTAGAAATTTAAGTAAATTTTAAGATAGAAATCTCTGACAGGTATTTCTGAGAAAATAGCTTTTTGTGGTTTTGCAGACATGCTTTTTTTTTCTATCATACATGTTTTTCTCTGACAGGCACTGTAGTTAGAAAATTTCAGATTTGTTTTGCTTGCAATACTTAATGTTGCAGGACATAAATGTGCTGAAACACATTGAAACAATGTTAGTGACATTATAGAACCCACTTAAAAAGTCACTATGTGAAGTAGGAAAGCAGTAGTCCTTGCTGAAGCTACTGATTTTTTTTTGGACTTCAAACAACAGTTGAAACAAGATACCAATATAAGTATGTTAGCATTGAGAATTGAAAAATTGCAATGATGTTGAATACAATCTTTATGGACCTTGGAACCATCTTGTTGAGTCTAGTCACATGACTCCCAAATCTGATTCATGATTAATTGTGACAAATAATTACTATCCTTGAGAAGGTCCTTATAGAACAAGATAAGAAATAGAATAGAGTTTAAAAATAGAAGCTGAAGGCCAAGGGTGGCTGATGTATAGCATGCCTGTCATCCCTGCACTGGGGAGGGAGGCTGAGGTAGGAGGCTTGCCATAAGCTCCAGACCAACCTGGACTGCATAATGAGTTCAGGGCCAGTGTGAGCTAAACAAAACACCCACCCAAAATTGAGGACAATAAACATACATATTTCAAACATACTGGAAATAACATGATTTATATCTAGTAATTTAGTAGGCCTGCCTACTATAAACCTAGTATTTGTATTTATTGATCTTTTAAAAATATTATATTCAGACATTATTTCACTTCTTTCATAATACTAACTCACAATGCCTTAGGGACTCTGACTTAACGTGTTTCATATGGACACAAAGCTTTTCAGTAATTCCTGATCCTCTTCCTAGAGAAGCCAAATGGATGGTTGCTTTCAGCTCTTTTCTTCTTGTCCTCCTGTGTCTTCCAGTTACATAGTGGTGCCAGTTCCAGAGTCCCACACAGGATGGTGTGACTTTAACCTGATGTCGGTCTGAAAGGGCTCCTCCTCCTATTCATTGGCACTCCTGTGCCACACCACAGGCCTTGTGAAATACTTGCTCTCGGGTTTCTGCAGTAAAAAACTTAATTTTTTTTTTTTTTAATTGTACTGTATTTTCTGTAGTGTTCTTATAGTTTTCTTGAAACAGGGCTTGGCTTTGTAATTCAGATTGGCCTTGAACTCACCATGTAGCCCCAGGCTGGCGTTGAACTCGGCATCCTCCTGCCTCAGCCTTCTGAGTGCTGTGATTACAGGTGTGCACTACCATTCCCAGCCTTAGTCTTTATTTTTTAAAATATTCATCTCCATAAACCTTACATCGTCTCTTAAAGTCCCCTGCAGTGCTAAGTTATATGAAGTTATTTTCTGTTTTGTTCCTGTATCGCATACCACTCCTGATGATGTCTCAGCTGTTTCTCTTTGTCCATAATGTTGATGTATTACAGGGGACTCTTGACCTTTGCATGCAGTTTGTTCACGAGGGCTGGTTGTAACTCAAGCTGGTTGTACATCAAGGCTGTTTTCCTCGTGGGAAATAAATACCCGTAATACGTTCCAGACCTCCCAAAGCAGCCCTTAACTAACCTATTTGTAACAAAAAAGGGTCGTGTGACATATATAATTTATCAGAAGCACCAATAATATTCTTAGTGTATTCACAGTTATCAAATATGCCTAGTTTACCAGAAATGTTTTTGATTTTTAAAAAATCTTTTATTATTTATTTGGTACAAGGTCTCAGTACACAGCTTGGACTGGCAGTGATCCTCCTGTCTCAGCTCCCCAGAGCTGGGATTGCAGGTGTGCGCCACCACACTAGGTTTCAGAAACAACAGTTGTATATGGTGCTCACTATTCAAGCTGAGATCTTTGGCTTGCAGGAAGGGAAGATGATATGGAAAGTGGTTACAGTTTGGGAGAAGAGACCCCTTTCATAGGGTCATCAGGAATCTGGCTCTCCAGTATCCTTTCTCTCCTTGCGAGTGTTGCCTGCTCGAACCCACTTCTGGCTCACTAGGTCTCAACCTTTCTGGAACTGAAACTGGTGTAACATTTCTGCCTTTAACACCAGTCATCTAGATTGTGATTGCTTTTTTTCCCCTTTCCTTCCTTCCTTAGCTTCTTTTCTTTTAGGGGGCTGTTTTGTTAGTAGTAATCGTAGCAGTTATATAAAACACTGACCAAAATCACATCTATAAACATGGGCATCTCGGCTCAGACAGATGCTTGTATATGCTTAAACATACTTTTCTGGCATTGCAAGTCAGTGTTTACAACCATATAAGAGATGAGCCCAAGACCTAGAGTACAGTGTTGGCTTTTTCTCTTAGGTGCTGAGAAAATACCCATAAACTACTCCAGAACCAAATGGAGCTACTCTGGTATGTGGAGTGCTAGGCCCTTAGTTCAGTTCATTAAACTAGCAGGAAGTACAGTAACCCTTAAACTTGGCTCTTGGTTTAGTGTACCTGGAGGTCACCAGACTGTGTATCCAGGACCTGCAGGGACTTTAGAATGTAAGTTTAAAGAAGAAGGAAGATTACTTGGATAGTCAAACTCTGTTGTCATGAGAGGCTGGAAATGAAGTTTTGTTTCTGAAATTCAGAGTTTACCCTAGATGGCAGCGATAAACATTTTGTGAAATAGTAAGGAACTGTTAGAGATGAAATGATAATTCATATTTTTAAATCAAAAAATGAATGGTCATACTAGTGATTTGAATATTGACTAAACATTACTAAACAACACAGTTTTTCTTCTGACCAATGGTTGGCTTTTGGTACATGTTTGATGAATTGGTTTAGCTATATTTATAATAAATGATCTCCTCTGGCCCATAGCAAATGTTGCTAAATGGTTGAGACATTTTGTTTCCTCACTAAGCTCTGATGATAATTTTTTTTAGGAGCATTAGACACCTACTGTCATTGCAATAGAATTGTCAAAGGAGATAAAACTGATTAGCCATGTTGTGTATGTATAAATAGGTACTACCCTGGAAATTAAATCTGCTTTCATTATTGATTGAAAATTATTGCTCTCTTGGGCTGTTTTTCTTTTTATGGTGCTTGCTTTTCTATATTCCTTTCAAAACATTGTTACTTCCCTAGTGAAGGACTCCTGGTGATCTGAAGGAGGCCTTTTCTTGTATTACACCTGTGCAGCTAGCTTTTTATGATGCTGACATATAATTTGTTGTTCCTTCTTCCTGTATGCAAATGATAAATCTCCAGATTTTTTTTAGGTATTCAACAATAGTTGTTACATTGCACATTGTTGTCTTCAATGTAGTTGCTCAGATTACTCAGTTGCTTATATAAGCATGTAAAGTTGGTCAAAATAAAAATTTAAGCATTAACTACTCCCTTCAAAAAACCAATAGAAATTAGTAGTATAACCATCATCTTGTAAATTCTTTTTTCCCCTATTCAAATCTGCCTTAAAAAAAGGGTCTGTCTTTCTTTCCTACCCAGTACTGGGGATTGAATCCAGAGAATGCTGAGTTATGTTCAAGCCTTTTCAAAAATTTGATATAACATCTCACTAAATTGCCCTGGCTGATCTCAAACTTGGCATTCTCCTGACTCAGCCTTCCAAGTAGCTGGTATTTTTTGATATTTATTTATTTATCTATTTATTTGTATTTTAGGGAAGGGTCTACAGGGTGTTCAGGGTCTCACTGCTAGATTGGACTCGTAGTGATCCACCTGTGTACAGCCTCCCAAGAGCTGGGATTACAGGCGCGCACCAACACGCCCAGTCTCAATTGCTGTCTCAGCATGCCCTGGGGGCGAGGGCAGGGCCAGCCTGGCAGACCTGGGGATCAAACCCCTCAGCTAAATTTTTAATATCTTTAAAGTAGTTATAGACTGTCTTGATTTTGACCACACAATAAGAAATATTTGGATTCTATCACATGTATGTATACATATGAGTATATGTAATAGCATATTCTTGTATTTACAACTGTAACATTTTGAACACAACTGAATATAGTGAAAACTTAGAACATTTTTGTGCTGTAGTTTGTTGATGCCTAAGTATTTAGGTTTTACACAAATAATGTTTCTATTCATAACATAGAAATTGCAATTCATTCTAAGGGCACAATTAGAGAATGAAAAGAAGAAAAGAGAAATAGCAGAAAAGGAAAAGGAAAGAATAGAACGTGAAAAGGAAGAGCTAATGGAACGTCT